TACTATGCCTGTCTGTTCTTCAGAAGAAATTGTTTAAAGGAAAAGTTGACAGACGACGGGTGGACGACGGATGCTGCACCATGACCTGAGCTCACTAGCTTGCCCTTCAGGCAGGTGAGCTAACAATAATTGTTACCTTTCAGGAATTTTACGATTGTATCATTGAATATAACAAACAGTAAAAATTACCTTCCCTTTCTCGACGTATTCTCTCCGAGTAATCATCAATTATCTTTCCTGCATCCACATCACATGTTACAAGAACTTCACGTAGTTTACTGTACTCCCCATAACTGATGACTCCTTTCCTCCTCAAGGTTCCACACAGGTCCAGCATATTGCTTACATCACCCATATCCAAGGGCGAAAGATACTTCTTTTCTTTAACTTGAAAACATATAGAACACCATTCTTCTGATTTATGTGAAAATATTCCTCTTATTTCCATTACCATCTCTGTATGGAGGTTTAGAATTTCCTGCTGCAAAAAAAAAGAGAGAAAAAACTAGAAATATGTCCGGGAGACATGACAGTTCTCGCAAATACTAAAGATCCGCCTGCTAGAATCAGAATTTTGTTTTAGATTTTTGGCCTTGTGACTATAAATTCATGTATCTGAATGTAGCCACAGTGTAATAAGTTTCATTTGTATAAAGTTACAGTATAATAGTCATGTTGGATTAAAATCTGCCATGATGTCTGATTTGTGATGTTGAAGAAAGGAATATCTGAAATAATTTGGCCAAAAATCGGTATACTTGCCGAAACTAAGCTGTCACAGAGTTCTGGGTTTTGCTTAAAGTCATTGAAGCGCTAAAAAATTATAGCCGATACAAGCGCCAGTGTGATCTACCGCTTCAGCTTATCATGACCTAGCGATTGTTTTATTGCCTATCCACAATAAGTAGAACTTTGGTAAGAAGTATTTATACATTGTATATCATTCTATTGCTGATGACGTGAATGCATACAGGTACATTTTGCTGGAAACGTTTGCAAGCAACACTGACCTTCATGTCCGGTACTTTTTACGCATTACGGAAAAAGAACACAGATACACAGAGCGAGACAAATTTAATAGTGCAAGCGGTCGCACTAAAATTGTAAAGATCATGTAAAATTACCTATTTATTCAAGATCGGTGGTAATTAAGATTTTATCATTCCAAGGTTCAGACAGGTTGTGAACATGTACAAAATATGACTGTTTCTGGTAACCAACAGACGGTAGCCTTAATTATCAACCGAAACGTTAACGTGTCTATCTCCCTCGATCCACCTTTCATGTAGGTTATATGGCCTTTTACAAATCCTCCAATGTTAGTACTTAAGTATCCTTATGGTGGAGAAAAAGGGTCAGGAGATCAAATATTTTATACCATTTAACTGTGATGAGTTTCAGGGCTTTTGTACTTTGTACCAGGTGATGAATATCACTATCTCCCTCCTACAGTCGCAGTATTAGATAAACTTACACTGATAAATAGCCATGATAAAAGCTAACTGTGGCATTTTGTACCAGGTGATAATTATCACTATCTCCCTTCTACAGTCATAGTATGAGATAAACTTACACTAATGAAGAGCCGTGTAATAGGCTCACTGTGGTATTTTGTACCTGGTGATGAATATCACTATCTCCCTTCTACAGTAGCAGCATGAGATAAACTTACACTAATAAAGAGTCGTGATGTAGGCTCACTGTGACACTTTGTACCAGGTGATAAATATCACTATCTCCCTTCTACAGTAGCAGTATGAGATAAACTTACACTAATAAAGAGCCGTGATGTAGGCTCACTGTGACACTTTGTACCAGGTGATAAATATCGCTATCTCCCTTCTACAGTAGCAGTATGAGATTAACTTACACTAATGAAGAGCCATGATATAGGCTCACTGTGGTATTTTGTACCAGGTAATAAATATCACTATCTCCCTCCTACATTGACAGTACGAGATAAACTTACACTAATGAAGAGCCGTGATATAGGCTCACTGTGGTATTTTGTACCAGGTGATAAATATCACTATCTCCCTCCTACATTGACAGTATGAGATTAACTTACACTAATGAAGAGCCGTGATGTAGGCTCACTGTGGTATTTTGTACCAGGTGATAAATATCACTATCTCCCTCCTACATTGACAGTACGAGATAAACTTACACTCTCAGTACTCATGTGGCTCGTTGATGGCTGAAGAGATTCGTCTTCTGAAAGGAGAAAAAAATGAAAAATGTTAAAGAGACAGACTAAAAAAATATTCCTTTTTGACCTGAGATCATCAAAAAGTGGGAGGTATTATATAATTGTATTGGTTTCATACAGAATAAACATTGTTTGATCCAAATAACAGACTTTTATCAATCGAAAAAAACTTGTGTAATTTGCCAGTGTCTTGTGTTAAGATTTAGTTTGAAGTTTGGATTGCCCAAATCAAATAGCTATAGATGTTTTCAGGATTTGTTTAAGAAATATAGATGAATTGCATGGTCCGCCATCTTGAAAAGACAGGATTTTCTCCGATTCCGTTTGTATACAGAACTTACAGACAGATGAACATTTAACTATTTATCCTTAATTGATAATTAATAAAAGATGCAAAATAGATATTTGTGTTGCTATATGAATTGATACGGTAATTAACATAATAGTTAATAAATTAATCAAAATAAACGAAGTTGGAAAACACCATCTTCTTATGGTAGATGCATATATAAATTACATTCTCAGCAGCTGACATTTTGGCAGCAAAGTTATAGGCCTGTTATCTTCACAAGATAATAGAGTTTACAGCAACACTTCATCTTTAAAATGAATTAAACATGAACTCACACCGTATCATGTTTCAATAGAACTGTGCTGATAAAATATCTTGTGTTGTTTGATTGAGAAAACACCACACTCCATCTTTTGCCAGTCATAAGCTATAAGCCATTCATGGAAATTATCAAATATAATGTGTATTATTGTCTACAACTACGGTGGGGAAGCCCTATGTCCTGTAAGCCAAAAGTGTCAACTTGACACAGATGTTACAAAACCAGCACACCATCTAAATCTGACTGATTAAGTTAGTCGTATATTCTGAAGGAGATAAGTTTTTTAACTCACAAATATGGTTCAACCCTACAAATGACAGACTTCAATCAAATCCCTTATCGGGTTAGTCCAATGTCTATTTGAGGGAGACAAGCTTGTGCAAATTACAAGTAAGCCGGGGCTGTCCTTCGGCCTCCATATATGAGTTTTGTAAAGAACATGATATTTTGACATTTTGGTTTAATTTTTTTTTATTCTACTATTAATCAGCTTGTTAAAATAGTACATAAAATTTACCAGTCACTGGATAATGGAAAAAACGTTTGTCCCTTGGACCAAGGATGCTCCAGACTAGACAAGGTATCACAAGTGATAAAAATCCCCCTGCATTCACACATTGTGTGCCATATGTATGAGGAAATGGATAGAAAATTCAATGAGGTCAAAGTAACTGGTCTAGTGACTGCATCTGTTGAAGGTATTGTCATGGCAAACAATTATTTCAACCTTGACCTTCAACATAGAAATCCAAAATGCGAACTTGTTCAATGTATGCTTATACAAAATGAAATTCTGTTGAGGAATGCAGTAGCTAAAGTGATGACAAAGTTTTTCAAAAAATAGTTAGTGACCTTAACCTTCAACACAGTAACCCGAAATGCAAACTTGTTCAAGGTATTGTCATACCAAACACTTGTATGAAGTTTCATGAAATTCCATTGAGAAATGAAGTCGCTAGATCGATGACAAAGAGTGTAATATACGTACGTATCTGACCCACCTCTCTGCCCACAGTGGGGCCACACCCACTGTTTATACAAAATTGAGTCCCCTTGGCCCAAGACTAAATTAGTATAAAATCCATTTGTCCCTATGCTAGAAGAAGGATTCTACTCCTCCTTGTTCACCAAATCTGGTTACTCCAGGTGAAACAGTACAGAAGATATGCGTGGGACAAACTTTTTCAAAACTTAAGGTCAAAGGTCAAGTCATAGGCCACATGTAGTTACCTTATTCTTGCACTCTACCATCCCAAGATGTCCTTGTACACCAAATTTGGTTACTCCAGGTGAAAAAGTATAGAAGATATGCCCCGGACAATTTAAAAAAAAAAATAAAGTCAAAGGTCAAAGCAAGTAAATTTGCGGGTATAGTGCACACTCGGATATAGTGCACACGTACGTTTTTGGGGTCAGATTTGAAGAAGAAAAAAAAATTGAAAATAAAAATGAAATTATTTTTTTTGGGAAAAAAAATTCCTAAAAATAAACGGTATCAAACAGGAAAAGTAGCATCAAACGTAGCTTGGTGTTTATAATGCCGATTAATTAACGATTGATTGATTGGAGTCAACAAGCCCATGAAGGTCTCCCTCCGTACCGCTTGGAACGAGTGGATGATGGATGAATCCTGCAGAAACCAAGCGAAGAAAGTTTAGCTAATTCTGATGCCAGAGAATCGCCGATCAACTTATGTTTCGACATCTCAGCGGTTTTCTCATAATTACGAAAATGTAGTGTTTTAATTATAGGCTCCGTTCCGTGTTAGTTCTGAGGTTTTTTTAACAAATCGCTAAGCCTAGTGTGCATGTTTTTTCCCGGCCCACTTTCACGTGACATCATCGATGTCCTCGTGAATTATTTCAATATTATGAAGCATCATAAAAATTGTGTATTCTGCTTTTTATTTTTTCCCTTCGAGTAGATTTGAAAGGGATGTGTTGAATGTCCACGCTTCTAGTATAAACATATTTTTTATAATCCCTTTACGGTCAAATTAGTCTGTAGATTCTAACAGTGCAGTAGGGCTTCACGCCACGTGTTGAAAAGTGAAAACAACACGGTCCCTCGATCTCGACTGCAAATAATTTCAATTAAATTGCAGTAGAGCTATTGTTAATCGGTAATCACCGATAGAGTTGGCTAAATACTGCATTGTAATTTGTATTAACAGTGGTGTTAAGAAGTGTCAATAATTTTCGCTGAAGCATGGCGATCCTACATAGCCTACTGTCCGGGATCCAATGGTATGCCCTCCGGTCAACTTACATGTAAAAAGGATACCTGTGCCCAGCTAGTGTTTGTCGCCAAATCAGCAGTCATGACCACAGATAACCGATTTTAATCATTTAAGAGAAGGTAAAAATTGTGTCGCCAAAGAATTTCATTATTTGTTGTTTTTTAATCTTCATTCTTATCATATATGACAGACGACTCCAAATAAAACTATTTGAAGGGAGGTAATCCAATATGGCGGACCAGAAACTCTGGAACGATAACCCAAAAATGACTTGTTCCTGTGTATAGTGCGCACCCCCTTTTTGACATGACAATATTTACCTAAAAAAGTGTGCACTAGCTATATGCGCAAATTTACGGTAGGTCACAGTGAGGTCATAGTGACCTGCTTTTTGCACTCTGCCATCCCAAGATGTCCTTGTACACCAAATCTGGTTACTTCAGGTGAAATAGTATAGAAGTTTTGTTCCGAACAAACTTCCTCGGACGGAAGGACATAAAGAGATAAGGAAGGGCGAAATGACTGAGTGCAATTCTATAGTTTCCTAAGGAACCGATGGAGGACTAATAACACCCTGACGTGTGTGCCTGAGCAGTTTTTAGTGCCAAAAAATCTGGTTTCGGTCTCATTGATAGGAAATGTGGTAGGTACAAGCTAGGTGAACATGGAATTCACCATAGGGGTAAATACATGTCCGACTATTTGGTTATTGATTTTGGTAACCGGCTCGCAGTCTTCAGTCCGAGTAACTGGTAAACAACCCTAATTTATATGAATAATGAAAAGAATTATTGCAAAAGACTGCTACTTCAAAAAAAGATCTGTTTCGATGCTAGAAAATGAATTCTAAAATTTGGTGGTTTATATGTGTAGTAGATTCATATCGAGAATATTGTGAAATTCGCCTTATAGATTTTAGATATATATATTCCTCACCTGATATACAAAATAAATTGAACAATGTCAATACATTGCATTTCACTACTTTTGGTGTTGAATATAAAACAAATTTTCATGAAGTTTGACCCCTGAGACATTCATCATACAGAATTAAGTATACATGTTGAAAATCTCCTATACATTACCTTCTGATGCAGACTGGACAGGGGAAGGATGTCTCCGAGCCGGTCCCTTCCCTTTTCTTCCTTTACCAGGGCCCTTTGACATGGTTCACTATTTAATGAAACAAAAAAGAGATACCAGAGGGATATCTTGGCTACCACTAGGACATAAAATCTTCTTTAGTTTTATCTTTTCCCTTCTAAACATTTTTTTCTCTTTCTGATCATAGAACACATTGTCAGATCCTCCGTAATTGCATCATGTCATGACTTTTGATCAAAACTTTGTATAGAAATTTTCAAAAGTTTTGTTTGCATGTTTGTCTGCACGGACATTTCATGCAAATTTCCCGCCACCACTAACACATTCTTGGATCAACTTCAGTCAAGGCCAAATCTGAGAATAGAGAAAAGGACTCGCCAGTTCTATGTGCACATTTAACTCAAAAACGAATACCAATATTGAAAATATGTCTTTTAAATCCAAGACTTCTGTTCTCGATAATTAGTACCTTAGATTGCGTTGTAATTGTCACTTAGGGTAAAAAAAATCCTCTTACCTACAAGTTTTTACAATATACCATAATTCCGGACGGTATAACAACATGCTCACTGGGTACTGGTTTACATTTAATTTTATCACATAATCGGCCTGTTATCCAGTGAATTCGCCCGTGTAATATTTTTACATATGTCGCTAGTGTAATATACCCTGGAGCGTTTTTCATTGGCTGTGCCAGTCAGAAATTGATTGTGACATCATAATATGGACAATGACGTGACGTCATAAAATGTGAATGGCGCAACAAGATGGCTGTCTCCGTTTGATTAAGCCCTGTACATCTTTGTAACGTCCTCTCCATACTGACAGGACGTGAAGCTTCGTTAGGATGGAAATGTGGTGCGATAAACAACATACAAAAGGAATAAAGTTCACATGTTTATTATTTCCACGGCGTGACAAATATAATCCACATCGTGTAAAAATTCAAGTACTCACTCCATAATTCGCACTATCGTCCGGATGCATTCACACTACAATTGTACACTTACAGTCTCCAATCCAGTTATGAACTATCTTATTGTATATACATCCTAAAACTATGCACGGAAAAACTAGCGGTAAACTCCCAAACTGAAAAACTACTGTAAAAGCCGACCCTTCTCCAGTGCGCCGCTCCATATATACGGCACCTAGTATTTATAGGCACTATAATTAGCCATCATCCCGACCTTTAACCTTTGCTGGTGCCTAACCTGTAGACAGTATCGATTATCTGACCATCACAACTACTTTGACTGGTGTACTGTACCTACGGTCCCCTTGACCAGCACCAACCATATCCCGTATGTTTACACACGCATCGTATACATGTACCGTTATAAACACCTTACCATAATTAGTCCACATTATAACTTATCAGCACTATCAATCCTCAAATTCACTACATTTTGGCTTTTAAACCTGTCAAAATGCATTTTTTTCCGAGTTATGTAATAAAAATTATCTTTAATTTGTTTTCTTTTCTGATATATGGTCTCGCACACGTACATTTGACGGCGCCGTGAGCCAATCTGATAAATTTGTTCAAACACCGCATCCAACAAATTTATGGGTTCAGTATATTCAAATGAGTGCATGAACATGGTATTCATTTACCTACCGAAGTAAGCATAAATACGTCCGATATGCTTGATTAGAAAGTATAAGTAACGCCTTGAAACACCATGTCGAAGTGCCGATTTTCGGCCTTTCAGATCACTTCAAACGATAGGCCCTAGATATCTTATCTGACTGCACTTTCGTGGTTAAACGTTTTAGAATTTCAAGTGATCAAGAAAAGTTATTTAGCATAGCAGTTATGCAGTTTTTAGAATGTGTTCTACTGCCATTTACATTTGAAATGTGTGATCTTTTTAAATATATTTATATATTTTTTTACATAAAACATGAATTACGGTGAATGTAAACACAGGAAAAATAATTATCAATATTGCATCACTGAGGCTACTTTTGATTTGGATTTTATTAGTTTTATTTTTTGATTGAAGGCACGGAATTAAAGGCGAATAATATCTTAAAATTTAAACTTTTCAACCTAGATTTGTTTACACTTCCTGTGTCAAGAAAATGAGATAAAGTCCGATTTTTCGCTCTTTTGAAAATATTTAAAAAAGGTTCTGGTGGAAATTTTCAGCACTTTAATTTAAGTCATATTTTCTTAAAATTACAGCCATATAATCAGAAAAGATTAAAAAATATATGACATTATGGATTAAATTATAAACAATGTATCACAATTTTTTTAATTTAACAGAGTACTCCTTAATTTAACATCATGTTGAATAGTATTGCACTTCAAAAAATATTAAATATTCAATGATTTTAATGGAGGGCCTATCCGTAACGGTTGGAGGCCGAGAAAGTATGGCCGCTGTTTAAGAAAAATTGGCTACTGAAATTCAAACATGGCTACTTTTTTGGCTACTGATTTTTTAGGTCCAGGGTGAGCCCTGATTTCATATGAGCTTTTATGAAACTCGTCTCGAAGTTTTAATTAACTCATTTAAGATCCTATATATATGAAGTTATATGATTTCTGCTTTCAATAGAGGTACATGTGGTTGTAGGTGACCGGAATAGTTTTATATGATCTTATGAGTATGAAGTAGAAGTTGTATTTATCTTTCCAATAGGTTTCCTGAGAAAACGTAATTTGGTCTACACATGAATTGTTGACACATGCACAGTACAACGTCATTCAAATAGGACATTTGAAAGCCATGCCTGACAGAAAATCAGGATTTTCACTGTGGCAGCGAAAGGGTGAAGCTGGACTGGACATTGTGAAAAGTGTCCAAGATTTCCCGGATTGACATGGTAATATTAAACGTCCTATAAAGTAAATACAAGAGGCCCAGAGGGCCTGTATCGCTCACCTGGATATCTAAGCAATCATGGCAAAATATTCTCCAAATGAGATAAAAGGGAATATGCCAGACCCCAATGCAAATTCTTGTAATATGTCTGTATTAGATTTTTTTCATGCCCAGCAATTTAATGTATGGTTATGGGGTGGGGATCTCAACTGTTTCCAAGCTGTGAGTCAGAAACTAGATCCCTAGGGTTGTGGCCAGACCCCGGGATCAATTCTTATATCATGACTGCATGCATCTCTTTTTTGTCCAGCATTTGTATTTATAGTCTTGGGGTGGAGATATCAACCGTTTCAAAGTTATGACCCAGGGGTTTAGTCTGCAAGGGTGGTACAGACCATGGGGTCAATTCTAATATCATGACTGCATTCGTCTCTTTACGCCCAACAATTGTATAATATATAGTTTTGGGGTGGGGATCTTAACCATTTCGAAGTTATGACCCAGGAGTTAAGTCTCCAAGGGTGGGGCAGACCCCAAGGCCATCCTGGAAGCATATGTGCATTCATCTCTTTATACTCAGCAATTGTATATATGCATTGTTGTAGGGTGGGGATCTGAACTGTTTCCAAGCTGTGACTAAGAAACTGGGTCCCCAGGGGTTCGGTCAGACCCCAGGGTCTATTCTAATAACATGACTACTTTTGTCTCTTTATGCCAAGCATTTGTATATATAGTTCTGGGGTGGGGATCTCAACCGATTCAAAGTTATGACCCAGGGACTATGTCTGAAAGGGTGGGGCCAGACCCTAGGCCATCCTGGAAGCAAATGTGCATGCTTTTATTTTATACTCTACAATTGTATATATGGTTATACCGTGGGGATCTCAACCATTTCCAAGTAATAAACAGACCCACCATTTATACAAAATTTGTTCCCCTTCCCCTAAGGATGCTTCAAAATTTGGTCAAAATCTGCTCAGTCGTTTATGACTAGTAGCAATTTTTAGGAAAAGTTGCCGGACACCGGACGACGGACGCCGCGCCATAGAATAAGCTAACTTGCACATCACCTATCAAGAGCTTGGTCAGTTGAGTTATTCTTCAATTCTGTCCAACTTGCTTCATAATATCATAACAAAATGTTCATCTGTGAAAAATACAAAACTTGACCTTGACCTTGAACCTTTGGACCCAGTAACCTGGACCTTTGGTCAGTTGACTCCGTGTTAAGTTCTTAACAATTTTGCTTCATAATAGCATAAAAAAAATGTTCTTAAGTAAAAAGATACAATATTTGACCTTGACATTGACCCAGTGACCTTGACTTTAAGTCAGTTGACTGCTTGTTAAATTCCGACCAACTTTGCTTCATAATGTCATAATAAAATGTTCATCAGTGAAAAGATACAAAATTTGACCTAGACCTTTGCCCATGTGACCTTGACCTTTGGTCAAATGACTCATTGTTTAATTCCGACCAACATTGCTTCAAAGTGTCATTGCTTCAAAGTGTCATAATGAAATGTTCACCAATGAAAAGATACTAAATTTGGCTTTGACCTTTGACCCAGTGATGTTAACCTTAAGTCAGTTGACTCTTTATTAAATTCTGAGCAATTTCAATTCATAATGTCATAACAAAATGTTCCTCAGGGAAAAGATACAAAATTTGACCTTGACCTTTGACCTTTGGTCAACCGACTCCTTGTTTTAATTCCAACCAACACTGCTTCAAAGTGTCATAACAAGATGTTCACTAGTGAAAAGATACTAAATTTGACCTTGACCTTTGACCTTAAGTCAGTTGACTTTTTGTTAAATTCCAACCAACTTTGCTTCATAATGTCATAACAAAATGTTCATCAGGTAAAAGATACAAAATTAAACCTGACCTTTGACCCAGTGACCTTGACCTTTGTTCAGTTGATACCTTGTTTGATTGTGACCAACTTTGCTTCATAATGTCAAAACAAAATGTTAAGCAGTTACAAGATACAAAATCTGACCTTGACCTTTGATCTGATGACCTTGACCTTCGATCAGATGACTTCTTGTTGTATTGTGACCAACTTTTCTCCATAATGTCATAACAAAATGTTTACCAGTTGAGAGCAAAAAAAATGTAATATTTTTAGTGTTAAAATCCAAGATGGCTTATTAGCAGCCATTTTGAATCAGATCTGCCTGAAAAATTACCAAGCAGAACTAGGATGTATGGACATTCATCATGTACAATTTAAAAACATACTCCATTTACTTCCATCAATATTGTGCAAAAGAAAACAAGAGGCCCAATGGGCCTGCATCGCTCACCTGGTATTAATCTCACATTTGTAATCTTAAAAGTGGACTAAATAACAGCTACAGGCAGAATATCAGTGTTTGATTCATAAGAACCTATTAAAAGATTTAAACATATGACGCCTGTGCCCTCGAATGTCGAACAAGGACATTAGGTTGAAAGTTGGTCAAAGTTGGTAGCCTTCATCCTAGCATGCTACAGGCCCAATTTCAGTACCCTTGGCCTTTTGGTTATTGAGAAGAAGTTGTTTGAAGATTTTACGACATTTTACCCCTGTGACCTTGAAAGTGGGTCAAGGTCATGAATTTGAACAAACTTGGTAGCCCTTCATCCCAGCATGCTACAGGCCCAATATATATTCAGTACCCTCTGCCTTTTGGTTATCGAGAAGAAGTTGTTTGAAGATTTTAAGATATTTGACCCCTGTGACCTTGAAAGTTGGTCAAGGTCAGTCATTCAAACAAACTTGGTAGCCCTTCATTCCAGCATGCTACAGGCCCAATATCAGTACTCTGGGCCTTTTGGTTATTGAGAAGAAGTCGTTTAAAGTAAAAAGTTGGCGCCAGCCGGACGCCGGACGACGCACCATGCCATAAGCTCACTTGGCCCTTCGGGCCAGGTGAGCTAAAAAAGGACAGAAAGACGGACAACCTGATTTACTATAGGGCACCGCATCTTCGTATGGGGCCCCTTAAAATAAGTGTTTTACACACTATGGTGTGTCTGGTAACATTATCTTAACTATAAGGCTTTATTTCTACCAATATTGGGTTTGAATTGGAGGGAGATATAACGTCATTATAAGGTGCGCTGTATTACTGTATATGGAGGTAATTACTGAACCAGTCGGGCAATTAATGAACACCATGGAGGGTATTACTGAACACTTCTTTTATTTCTTATAAAATATTCATCAAAGGTCTTTAAATTGAATCTAACATATATCTTAAATAAACTTTTCAGGTACTCCCAGCGCTGAACCAACGGTGGTAGTGTAACCCCCTATCCCCAAGGGTAATTTAGTTGATGTATATAATAATCTTTAATTCCATAATTCAATTATAAACAAGAGGTCCAATGGGCCTGCATCGCTCACCTGGTATTAATCTCACACTTGTAATCTTAAAAGTGGACTAAAATACAGCTACAGGCAGAATATCAGTGTTTGATTCATAAGAACCTATTAAAAGACTTAAACATATGACGTCTGTGACCTTGAATGTTGAACAAGGACATTAGGTTGAATAGAGTGTATAGTCTTCCAACCCAGCATGCTTCTGGCAAAATATCATTACCCTGGACCTTTTGGTTATACAGAACAAATCATTTAAAGATTTAAACATATATTGACCACTGTGACCTTGAATATGGGTGAAGGTCATTCACTTGGTAGTCCTTCATCCCAGCATGTTAATGGCCAAATATCATCACTGTTGGCCTTTGGCTTATTAAGAAGAAATCATTCAATGGTTTTAAACATATTTGACCCTTGTGACCTTGAATATATATGTCAAGGTCATTCATTTGAACAAACTTGGTAGTCCTTCATCCCAGCGTGTTACTGGCATTATATTAGGCCTCTTGGTTATTCAAAAGAAGTTGTTTAAAGGTTTAAAACATATTTGACCCCTGTGACCTTGAATATGGGTGAAGGTCATTCACTTGGTAGTCCTTCATCCCAGCATGTTAATGGCCAAATATCATCACTGTTGGCCTTTGGCTTATTAAGAAGAAATCATTCAATGGTTTTAAACATATTTGACCCTTTTGACCTTGAATATATATGTCAAGGTCATTCATTTGAACAAACTTGGTAGTCCTTCATCCAAGCATGTTACTGGCATTATACTAGGCCTCCTGGTTATTCAGAAGAAGTTGTTTAAAGTTTTAAATATATTTGACCCCTGTGACCTTGAAAATAGGTAAAGGTCATTAATTTTAACAAACTTTGTAGCCCTTCATCCAAGTTTGCTTCTGGCCAAATATCGACACCCTAGGCCTTTCGGGAATTAAGAAGAAGTCGTTTAAAGTAAAATATTGACGCCGGACGACAGACGACGGACGGAGGACGACGGACGCCGCGCCACGGCATAAGCTCACTTGGCACTATGTGCCAGGTGAGCTAATAATTCATAAAGCTAACAAGACTTTTGATACAAGTCAAGCCATATTACCCGAGTGAGAACCTGTAGTGAATTGTGTACAGGTAAAATCTCACTTGCTTTGTAAGCTTTTTTCCAACCTCAGTCAGCCTTGTTCACTTTCATTTTTTCTCGACAAACGCATCTCCATGGACATCCAACCTTATGATATTTACAAGTTTAAATGGATTTTTTTCCTGAATTGGGACTTTTATTCAGCTTGGAAAATGAACATATAAAAAGTGATTTTTTTTATCTTAGTAGAGTTATTGATTTTTTTTCTGAAATTTAGTGTGCACACCTCAATTATGGTGAAATATATTGGAGGAGGATTTTTTTGTGACAGGGATTGTTTAATGCTAACGGAATGCATTATTGAATTTGATATACAGTTTGGTGTGGCATTGGAATGACCTTAACACGCTTTTTACTTTTAAATAGTAGATAAAGGTTTTAAAAAAAATCCATATTTATTTTCAAGGTTAGGGGGACATTATTTCCTTGTCTGTGTGATATTGTTGGTCAGCAGTGCATCTGAAACTAAACCTATAACATCTTTGACCTAAAAATCACTGGTGTTGTGGGTTTGTTTACACCTTAATGTGCATGGTTGCTAAGAAGTGTAACTAAAGTAGATATTAGCGCCACCTAGTGGCAGAAAAAAAACCATCATTCATGTTTTTTAACAAAGAGCAGTGCCAAAACTTGTTTTAAACATAATTGTTGTTTAACTCTAGTATGGCGTGCATGCCATGAGAAAATGTCATAACTGTTATCTAAAAAAATATTTTGGTGAGTCATTTCAAAATGAAAAGTGGAAATTCCACGGACGGCTAATTTCGTTTTCGGTTTTGTTTATATCTAGGACTGTTCAAACACGAAACTGGAAACATCACTAGTTTTTATTGTGATATAATATAAGTGAGAACATTACATGTTACTATGACACCCGGACATCAAAATGACTGTGTTTTATTTTTTGTTTACAGGCAGAAAATCTAGATTCACACCGTGCACTTAGACAATCTGACTTTCATTACTGTATCATTAAAATTGATCAAAAACATATATTTTGGCTTACAATCCGTATTCAAACTGTTAAAACAAATGTTATGCTTACCTGTTGAATGTATTAACACATTTGTTTGTAAATCTTCGGAAGGTCTAATAGATAAGACCTTGGTCCTGGTCGGTCCGTTACTCTCCTGTCTCACCGCTGGACTGGGCGGAAACGGGTAGGACATGGGATTTATACCAATACGCGCACGCTTCACTGAGAAAACAGTAAAAAAGAAGTGCGATATTCCAATGGAAATGTTGGCATTATGCAGTCATTTAAGAGGACTATACCCATTTGACAAGTTAATTTGTGTCATTTGCTGTTAATATGTATGTACACATAATATATGTCACACGAGTATTTGTGTGGGTTTCTATGGCACGCCATCCTGTAAAAAAATACATAAACTACTTAAGGTCAAAAGATTTGCCCTTAAGGGCAAATATTATTTTTTTACATTATGTACATTTTACCTTAACGTCAAAAGATTTGACCTTAATTGTAAAAAAAAAAATACACTTAAGGTCAAATCTTTTAACCTTAAGTGTAAATAAATGTGTTCAAGTCACTAATGGCAAAAAGATACGATATTCCCAATCGTACCCAGTCTGTGATGGACTCGTCCACATTCGGAACAAAATAAATTATTAAAAACAAAGAGCATACCGAATGTGATTTAGACCAATCAACGAGCGCGTTCTAGAATAGCATAGGCCGTGNAAAAAAAAAAATCCACTTAAGGTCAAATCTTTTAACCTTAAGTGTAAATAAATGTGTTCAAGTCACTAATGGCAAAAAGATACGATATTCCCAATCGTACCCAGTCTGTGATGGACTCGTCCACATTCGGAACAAAATAAATTATTAAAAATAAAGAGCATACCGAATGTGATTTAGACCAATCAACGAGCGCGTTCTAGAATAGCATAGGCCGTGCCTGGTGCTGTATAAACAATATGGCGGCGTCGACCATTCCCTTTAAATTGTCGCAGAAATCGAAATGGACTTTCACTTTGAATCGCGATGGCATCTCTAGCGAACGTTGCGACAGCATCTCTAAATCGGATACAGCGGGCAAGAAACGAATTGCAAGGCAACGACATCGTTGGAGAGACGAGAAATCTTTTTCGCCGTCGTCGATTTCGTCGGGAAGGGGGTACGATATGTGAACGTTTTCTAATTAAGAGCTTAATGTTGCTTGTACTAAAAACACTTCTTCATCTTTATTTAAAATATTAGTGATAAGTAAAGGTAGCTTCATTATCCAACGAATACACGTGATATTACCACACAAAAATATAAACCTTGTTAGCCAGTGGAATTTTTATCGAGTGTTGCATAGTATAAGCGAAATATTGAGCAACTATTGGAAAAAAAAAGGAATAAAAAAACCTCAGTTTATCTGATAAAAAACNCATACTAATACTTTTTGTTGTGTTACATGAAAATCTGAACGGTAGCGAAACAAGCATGATATTTTTTTCTTCTTTTTCAAGATGTCTTGGTGCAGGTTTTAAATCAGAAAAATCACACTATTAAGATTTAATTCAAAGTAATCATTATAAGCATTCAGAAAAGCATAATATCCCTTGAAATTAAAAGAAGTCTAATTAATATTTGTCTTGGTGTATTTCAAGAGAGTTTCATTGTTTTCAATAATACACTTGAAAAGTATTTTTTTCAGCAAACAACTTTTCATTTATTGACATAGCCAAGCATTAAAGTAGCATAGCCTTCAATATTTTCATATAAAATGCTATTTGATATCACCTACACTGATAAAACTAAAAAATAATCTTCAATAGTTACTAATTTTTTGACAACAAACTCCATCTTACCTTTATTTGTTATTAGAACATACTAACTTAATAAATCCATACAGAAATTTGCTTGGTAAGGTGACTCAATGATGGTTTTTTTTACAAATATTGGGAATGTATAGGTGGGTGATCTGGAATTTCGACAGTCCTTCATACTTGGAGGGTAATAAATAGGAGTAAATACTTTGTAATACTAGCATACTTTATTGAAATCATTTAAGGCAAAAGTGACCCAGTTAGAAATTAGTTAATGTTTACCACCACTGTATATGAAGTGATAAAA